GGGGGGGGGGGAGGGAGCAGGGTCAGGCCAGGCAGGGAGTGGGGGGGAGGAGGAGCGGGCAGAGAGTGAGGAGGGGCCAGCCAGGGCAGGGGGGTGAGGAGAGGAAGGGTAGGGTGGGGAGTGGAGAGACAAGAATGAGGAGAGGCCAGGCAGGGGGTGGCATGGGGTGAGGAGGAGTAGGGCAGTGGGGGGTGGAGTGAGGAGGGGCAGGGGTGAGGCAGGGCAGGAGTGGGGTAGGGTGTGGGGTGAGGAGAGGTGGGGGGGGGATGAGATTAGGAGGGATAGGGTGGGGTGGGTGCAGCCATCCCATTGGGGTCCCCATGGAGTGTGGGGTGTCGGTTGATGATGCCCCATGCAGGTGCCGTGGGGGATTTATCTCTACCGAAGCAGGCTCTCTGAGGTATTCAGGTGTCCGTTCCATGATGCAATCTGCTCCTCAGGTGGAGTGGCCTCGTTTGGAGAAGGTGGGTTTACGTGTGATGCGTTTGGACCCCGGCCTTTCTCCTTGGCGCACAGGCTGCCCTATCCACGCACCTCGCTGCAGAGAACAGCTTCCTTGGTGCGACTGGTGTGGCTGCTGGAGCTGTGATGGGAAACGTAGCGATCTATGAGTCCATAGCCGTCTGTCCCGTTGTTGAAGCTGATTGTGATGCGCTTTCAGGTCTGCCAGCCGGACAGGTTAGTTCAACAGACACAACACAGTTACTACACATGCTGCCCGCAACGCCCCCTCCCCGCACTGACACTGTGGGTGGCAGAAGGCCAGGCTTCACAGAGCCTACCTGAAAGAATGCCAGGGGGCTATTTATATGTCAGCAGACAGTTCTCAACAGGAAATAGAAAGTTTTCCACAATTCAATGATTTCAAACCTAATTGTGCATAGCAAACCTGGTTCCTCTGGAGAGCAGCAGGGAGCACGAATTCAGGGATCATTATGCCCTGGTTCTGGGCCTTGTTAAAGAAATACAGACTATCTGCCCCCCTGATTGCCCCCTGCTGGCACAGCTGTGCCCTGGAAGGCCACCCTGCCAGGGCATGCTGAGAGTGTGAGGTGGCCAAAGCTGCAGGAAGAAGGAAAGTTACAGGCTTTGCCATGGGATGACAGCCCTTTGGTGCAGGTAGTCTAGAAGCCAGCTGAGGCTTAATGCTTGAACAGGGACATCTGAACCTACGTATGCTCTGCAGGTTTGTGTAGCTCTGGAACTGGGGGAAGAAGAGTCCTCTCAGACTTGGTTACATTTCAGCCTGTAGCTGCTCGCTCCTCTGAGCTCGCCATCACCGCTAAGGCCAGGAAAGCCATCCCCGCGTGCTCTGAAGCAGAACGCAGATTTCACCTGAGGTACAGGCTATAAACAAGCACACTTTGTACCTCAAAACAAGAGAATTAGTGGAACTTTAAATATACACAACTTAGTGTTTATTAAAGTCATATTAGCAATGCCTCCCCCCCCCACGCTCTGTAAACATGGAACATTCTCCCAGGAGGCTTTCTGGACAATGGACCCTTCCCTCCTCCCAGCCCTAAGAGCACAGACAGGTTGCGGGAGCTAAGTTGGCAGGAGTCTGTGAGCAGGGACCTGGCTGCAGGATGTGATTTGCACACAGCAGGAGCCCACCCAAGCTTCTGCCCCGTGGGGCAGATCAGACATTGCTAGAAAGGGATTTTCTCCAGGGATTTTTAACTTGCCTGTTGCAAATTTGCCCCAAGGGGACAGGTGGGCTGGTCTGGAGGTCATAAGCCCAAGGACAACACACAGACTTGTACATAACCAACTCTCACAGCAAGATGGACTCGCGTGTGATGTGTAAACACTAAATAAATGCCGATCTGCTGCCCAAAGCAGCCTGTGCCTGTAATTTGACTTCCCTTTGCCCAGTAGGATTTGGCAAGAGATCAATCTGCAGGTGTGAAAGGGGCTGCTGCCCCACACAGGGGTTCATGCTTCTACGTAGATGTTCTCTAGTCCCTTCCATTGCCAGCCCTGCTAAAGTGCACCAAGGTGTGTGTGTGTGTGTAATGCACCTTCAAATAACAAGTAGCTACAATATCGGATTCCCGGTAGGAAAACCAAACCACCTCAAAGAGATTCCCACAGCAGCTCAGGCAAGGCCTGCAGGGGATGTGGTATCAACTGAGGTCCTAAAGCATCACATTCCTTTGAAAGATCTTCTGCAACCTGGCTTCCAGACTGCCGTACTCAATGCCTCTACCCCTCAACAGCAATGGGACTGAGCAGGTGCGATGCTGGGGAA